ACACACACACACACACACACACACACACACACACACACACACACACAGAGTGCCTGCCGATCTCTGTTTATTACAGCTCCTGTAGCTTCTCTTGTTCTCTTGAGCGGGGGACGGAGGAACGACATGTGGTGACGGAAGAAATCAAACACAATTGACCTGCGACATTCCGCCCACAATGTCTCTGTGATTTGTAATCAACTTTTTATTTTAAAGCTCTAAATGTTAAATAAATAATCAGCTTTGTGTTTGGTTCTCAGCAGCATCTCGAGGTCCTTGTCAGCGTTGAACATTAGACTCTACGTGCCTTTAATTCTTTACACATTGTCTCTGTAATCCTCAACTCAAGGCTCACTTACTAGCATTGTCTGGAGCTCCCCCTCAGACACCTTCTCTTAAAGTGCACTGTCGTACATTATAAACTGAGCTTTATAGTGGAAGAGCAGCTTTATTGAAGGATCTGTATTGCAGGAAATGACACTTTCAGGGGTTAATTAGCCCAAATGAAACATTTCCTGCCATACCGCCACTTGTCTGTGACTAATCTAGCACGCTCATTTTAAAATAGGACTAGGCGCCCATGACTGTAGGGTTAACAGTTGTCTAAGTTTCTGAATTAAAAGGCATGGCTGAAGAGTGTTTAAAGCAGAGCTAAAATCAATAAAGAGCAGCCGAGCGTAAGCTCTACTGTCCTCGAGATGGTGGAAAAACCGAGATGCATAACGGCAGTATTCTGGCGTTTTTTACAACATGATAGCTCACACTAATTAGATGGCTCGACGGCTATCGTCAACCTTTGTGTTTTCACAGCTACAAGAATGGTATAATGCTCCTCGCTAATGTCCTCTGTCTGCAGAGGTTAACGGTTGCATAGAAACAATTAGTGGTGTTGGCTGAGTGAAAACCTCTCTCGAGCCGTGTGGGAATGTGGCTCCTTCACAACACTCACAGGGGCTAATTCACCGACGGTTTAGGCAGCTTTTGCGGCCGCTAAACATTTACAAACAAGACAAAAACAAGCTCTTTCTCAAACTATCCTCAGAGGGTGAAATGCACTCTTAACTGAGCTGCCAAGCAAATAGTGTCTCGGTGCTCCCGTGCTATTTGTAGGAATTTAAATTGAGTAACATGCAGACATTTGGCACAAAATTGGAACCTTCTTATGCAAATGAGCCTCATTGCAAAAGCAGTCCCATTCACAAAGATCAGCGCTGATAGTGCCACACAGTGAAGGTGACATTATGGTGGATGGGTCCAACAAACAGCCATCTTTCAGCCAGGAGACCACTCTTCGTTCCCCGTGTGAAACCAGAAGTCAACGCTGATGTTTTTGTCACGTAACTTACATACTTCAGTAACGGCACTTCAGTAGTTATTTGAACCCAAACGCTGATCTTTTCTCGTATTTTTGTAGCCTAAACCTAACTGAGACCTTGAGACGGGCAGATAGAGGCTGTGATGTAAAGTTCAGCGGCCGCTGTCCATTCTTTGTGAGTGCTTCGCTGTCTACGCGCTGCGTTAACATCAGAGTGTTACAAAGCAGAATAAAGTAACCCTCCACACTGGTAAACCCTCCGGGGCCAAAAATAGGAGAACAAACTTTCACGCAGCAACAGAATTCTGCAGTCAGGTTCCACTTTTATATGCATATTGTTTGGATGTGATGGATTAATGTGCCAGAAAGGAGAGTTATGGTTCACTAGGCACCACACTTACACACAGGCAACCACACACATACACACACATACAAGCGTGCATGCTGAGCCCTAAGGCATGATAGTAAAAGGATGCATAAATAAACTTTTAAAGTTTCATGAGGACAACTCAGTTGCCTGATGGATCACTCTTACATACTACGGGAGCTTCTTCTGCTAAAACTTTGCTACATTGTGCAACTTTTTGTTTTTCTTTTTTAGGGGGGGGGGGGGTAATAGAAGTGAAGTGACCAGAATTGAGACGGAAAGATGTGTCCTGAGCTAAAAGTCAGTTTCTCTATAAAAACATGTCTAAACATAAATCCTAAGAGGTCCGACCGGGTGCGTCTCCGCCGGTGAAAACTGTTTGCTTGAGATTGATTTTCTGCTGTTTCACATTCCATTCCACTGCGGCTGATATTTTCACCGGCCAATTAAACTAAATCGACTAAAAATAAAATCTAATACTATTAAAATCAATACTGACGACGATGTACTAAATGTCAAAGCACAATTCCAGAACAAACCCCATTGTACCGTGATTGTCTAAATAAAAAGATGTAATCAAAGAAACTAATCTTGTGCTGGGTTATGATCCCTGATGGAAACACATCATATTGTGCCGGCGTTTATTCCTGAGCTGTCGTGGATCCAATTTCAGGGATGTTTAAGAAAAATCACTTTGTCTCGAAACCAATTGAGGTGCGAGTTTGGTATCAAAGCTTGAAGCTCCGTCAGACGTCACATGAAGCCGTTTCATTTTGTATTTTTCAAATCCAACAGGCAATTTTATAGAAACATAGAATTATGATAATAAAAAAAGCCCAAGCACACATTTTGGGAAATATAAAATAGAGAAGATAGAATGATTGAATGCAGCGACTGAAAGAAAACATTGGAGGTCGAGAGAATGATTCTTTCCTTCACACTGACGTGCACGTTTAAAGGATGCACATCTCCTTATAGACGCTGAACTGCTCAAAACGTATTGTTGGAACTGTACCAGCCAATCATTCTATGCGACAACGTCAATATCAGTCGTATTGCTTGAGATATGGTGCAGTTATTGGTAATAAAGCACAGTGATGTTGAAAATGGACATATTTAGACAAGACTGGACAAGAAGAGCTCGCCTGGACTCTTCTCACCTCCCAACGAGTTTGTATTTAGTTACAAATTATTAGTCATTGTTTGGAGAAAATAGATCATTTGTAGGATATGACTGATGATACTTTATGGGCGTCAAACTTAGTTGAAACAGAGCTTTAAGCACGAAGTGTTTTATCCCGAGAAGAGTGTAATTTGCAAAGGGAGCCGGGTTTTAACATCGTGCTACAAATGCCAACAGTGAGACGAGGCTGCAAGTTTGCTGTTGTTTAGTTAAAACGCAGCGCTACACTTTCCACCCGGCCGTCCTGGTGATTCGATTTTATTTGAGTGAAATCAATAGAATTGTGCTCAGAGTTTAGCAGAATTATCTACATTTTTGATGATACTAGAGATTCAATTTTTCAGAAGTGGTGTGTATATAAAGGAGAAAAAGAGAAATATTATAAATTCTTAATAATCAACGAGCAAAGGGGGTGATCACCATCGTGTTCCCTCCTTCGGCGATAGTGACTGAAAAGACATTTATTGAAATGAAAATCTTCCCACCTTAAAGTTATTAATATTTGGCACAAATAAGAGTCGCAGATGCTTCAGTCTGAAAGCAAAGGTCCGTCTGTATCACACGTACTATGTCTCAAAATAACTATCTGAATACTACTGGCACTGATGCAGTTTTCTGGGTTTAAAGCAGTACTTTGGGGAGAAAACTGCTGGAACTTGTGGAAAGAAATTAAGCTTCCGAATCATCGTTTGTCACATTAAAAATGAAAACCCAGGAGGAAAGATTCCACACTGTTCAATTTGTGATGTGTTCCAGGGTGTATTTGCTGATGAAGTGCTGCAATTTAGTTTTTCATTTTTCTCTCAGATTGCCTCATTTTCTTTTACCACAGTTACTGATTTCCATGTTGCCATTTTGCCATGCTGCGGGCAACGCTGGATATATGTGCAATCTCACAGCGGGGATGCAACATGGCAACAACCGGCTGTGGATGTTTATTTTACACAATTCAATAACACCGGATCTGTATTGAAGTTTCAGGTACATCTCTATAAATAAAAAAGATAGATATCTCTATGAAACCTCCCCAGGTGATCACTTACATTAAGACAATTTAGTTGTATTTAAATATGCAAATGTTGCATTATCTTAACAAATATGTGCTAATTTGCATACATTTCCAGAACAGAAATCTGAACATTGGATGAAATCAGGTTCAACATTACTGTT